ATAAAGGCTTCAGCTGTGCAAGGTGGAGGATGCTCATGAAGAGGAAAACCAGTTTTTTTTTCTATCCACCTTCAGCTGCTACATAGAGGTGCAGAGTAGTAAGATAATCAAGTTTAACTAGGGTTGGGGTTTTGAAAAATGATTACCAAGGAATGAGAGAGGTTCTAGGGAGATGAGGGTGCTTGCAAAGGGGTAATTGTGATGTTTAAGCCAGGGAGCCTGTGATGATCATTCAATCTGTGAGATTTGTATGAGTTCATATGTGTAGCACACTCAGAGCAAGATCTAGAATATTAGTATTGAAAAGAGGCTGGTGTTTTTATTATTGCAAAGGAATGAAAAAACGAGGAGCAGTTATTGGTAGAAATGTGGAAGGGTCAAAGAGATATGCTTTTAGAGCTAATACTTCCCTCACACTTCACTAAGGGGGATCCCTGACCAGGAGCCCCCCTGGTGTTGGAGACATGGACTCATGCACAATCAAATTCCTAAAGTACCATTTCTAGGTTACCACTAAGTGCTCACTAGCTCTTCCTTAATTGTGGAGGTGAGTTGCCAGAGGCTTTCCAAATGAGCATATAATTAATGATCAGTCTTCTAAGTGAATCCTGTGCTGGGTTCTTCAGGCCTTATGGAATGACAACGTGTACATCATGTATTGTGGCTTTAAGGGCTTTTGTCACTACTTTTCCTAGACAAAAGTTGCTGATCTATCCGAAAACCCACTGCTGTCAAATTGATTCTGATTTATAGCAACCCTATAGGACAAAGTGTTGTTGTTGTTGTTGTTATGTGCCGTCGAGTCGGCCCCAACTCATAGCGACCCCTCCTTGGGTTTCCGAGGCAGTATCACTACAGAAGTAGGATTGCCCAACCTTCCTTCCAAGGAGTGGCTGGTGGGTTTGAACCACCAGCCGTCTGGTTAGCAGGCAAGTGTCTTAGCCACTATGCTACCATAGGACAAAGTAGAACTGTCCTATAGGGTAGTGTATGTAGTGCCTAAGGCACTTGACTGCTAATCAGAAGGCTGGCGGTTCAAACCCACAAGCCAGTCCTCGGAAGGAAGGTTGGGCAATCTATTTCCGTAGTGATACCACCTCGGAAATCCAAGGAGGGGTCGCTATGAGTCAGGTCTGACTTGACGGCACATAACAACATAGGGTTTCCAAGGCTGTAATCTTTATAGCAGACTGCCATGTCTTTCTCCCACATAGTGGCTGGTGGGTTCAAACTCTTGACCCTTTGGTTAGCAACCAAGTGCTTAACCACTGCACCACTAGGGCTCCTTAGACAATACCTTAGTGACTCCTCATTAGTGATGCCAATTGTATTAAGTTTGAGCACAGGGGATGGGCAGTCCAGGGAGAGACTTTGGAAGTGGATCATATCTTACACTTTTCTTTATAGCATCCCAAGTATTATGTATTGAACTGTATACCCCCAAAATTTAAGTCAACTGGGCTAGGCCATGCTTCTCAGTGGTTTAATGTAATGATGTAGTATGGCAGAAATGTAATGATACCCCATGATGTGATCTGATGTGATAAACCAATAGGGTGTAAGAGGATTAAGGGTGGGTTGCAACACATTTAGTCCCATCACAGCCCTGATCCCATGTAAAGGGAGCTTCCCTGCGGTGTGGACTGAAACATCTTTTATCTTTTAAGAGATAAAAGGAAAGGGGAGAAAAGAGACTTACCACTCTGGTAGCATAGTGCCTAAGGCACTTGACTGCTCACCAGAAGGCTGGCGGTTCAAACCCACCAGCCACTCCTCGGAAGGAAGGTGGGGCAATCCTACTTCTGTAGTGATACTGCCTCGGAAACCCAAGGAGGGGTCGCTATGAGTCGGGGCCGACTCAGCGGCAAACAACAACAAACTCCCAAGAAACAGAAGCCAGGAGTGGGGTGTGTCCTTTGGACCCAGGGTCCCTGTACTGGTACCCTCCTAAGAACAAGAGACACACACAGAGAAAATCTTTCCCTAGAGCTGACACTCTGAACTCAGACTTCTAGCCTCCTAAACTGTCAAAGAATAAATTTGTTTGTTAAAATCTCTACTTGTGGTATTTGTTAGAGCGGCACCAGAGAACTAAGGCACAAAGCAAGCAGCCTTCTAGTTGGTTTATGAGTAGCGTCAACTCTGCTCAGAATACTGTGTATTACAAATGGGGCTAGTTTGCTGAAAACTCTAGCGTCACATTCCAGGGTATTTTTCAGTTACAAAGGGTGCTAAGATCAAGGCCCTGTACTAGGGTGAGAATGGCCTGAGTGCCACCCATTTGCTTAAAGGGCAAAGTCTCTGGAGGCCGCACCACATTTCATGGGGCAAAGTCACAGCCCTCGCTTGGGGAGGGGACTCCTCAGCCATAGAGTTGGCTGGGGAATGGGTGTCCCAACCCCCATTCAGCATGTGCCTTCCCTCTCCCATCTCTTAGTCACCAAGTATCTACAAAAGCTATCAGGCAGAACCTTAGGACAATAGGATGGGGTTCAACTGGCAAGGAAACCAAAGCCTGACAGAAAAACACCTCAGGACTCCTGCCAGCCCCTACTCCCTGCCAGTTCCAGTGCAGGACAAACAGTAGGATTAATTCTAGCTGATTCACTGGATCCCTTGATCTCAGACAAGCACAACGTTGCCTGGCTGCTGCCTGCCTGTCAAGTGAGCACAGCTTGTTGCAGTTTGTTACAGCAGGACCACGCCTCCCTCCTGTCTTTTCCCACATGGCTTCCTGGCTTGGAAAAGGTACTCTTCAGGGGTCCCTGTAACAGATTTGTGTGGGCAATCAGAGGTTGATTATTCTTGGGCTGTAACCACATATTCCTTGAGCTGAGGCCCAGCTGGGGGCACGTGGCACATAGCAGCCTACGTTGCTATTTGGCATTTCTCAAGTTATTTTGGTTAACTACCATCCTGCCTAGGACTAGAACTGTTCCTTCCATTTCATGGCAGTCTTACTAAAGATGGCTAAGAGAATAGCTGTTACTTGAGTCTCTAAGTGGGCAGATCAGGCTGCTTCCTCAGGCTTTCCTCTCTGGGCAGTGGGGAGGTATGAAAGGTAGAGCGCACTGCTGCCAAGAATCCATTACTCCAAGCTGTGCCTTAATCCACGGTCTTAATTTCCTAATGGCTTTGCCAAACCCTCTGCCAAATCTGCTTGTCCTTTACTCAGTAGCTTCCCATTTTGCACCTGAAAGCATAGACCACTAAAGAAATTGCAGATCAAAATCTTCCCACATGAGAAGCACAAGAAGGTACCCAGTTTGGCTGTTGTTTTTGCTCCATCTATAAAATATTTTCCCTCCTGTTACACAAAGCTTCCTAGTCCCTTTTCTCCTTCAGGCAGACAACAGCAGTTAGCTCTGTTTCCATGCTCAGGTACATCTGAGGTTCCTAGCCTGTTAGCTTTATCATCAGTGATAATTCTATACTCTTATCAGTTTTCTGTAAAATCGCAGAAATCCAGATATTCTTAATTACGCCTTCTATTTCCATTGTGTTGCTCAGACAATAAAGGAGGAAGAGTACATGGTCTGTTCTTGCTCCAAGAATGGGAACCCCTCTGAGGGACAAGTCCAATCAAGTCTTGGGGCTGAAGGGGAGAGGGGCTCCTCACAGGCTCCAAAGACTGTTCAAGACTTTTGATCCCATCAACTGCCACATAACCCCATGCCTGACACATGATGTAAAGAACTAAGAGCTTGATCTGAGGAGGCTTCCCAAGTCCTTCTACTTTTCCTACAATAAATCTCACGTTAAGTTTTTAGGGCACTAGCTCGGATCTCAGCAGATGTATTTAGACAACACTTGAATGTGCATTAATGTAACTTTATTAAAAGTTACTAGAATTAACAAAATGCTAGTAACTTTTAATAAAATTATAAAACTTTTATCAAGTTAATGTAACTTTCTACTTTACAATTTCCATAGCACCCTTCAACTAGAGATAGAATTATATAAAATGTTACAGGTAGAAGGGTGGGGGTTTCTTGGCAAGTTGAAAATTCTCTTGACCAAATTATATGGTTATTTCCCAAATCTGACATATATTCTGGAATACCCTTTATAGTCTTTCTTGACTGGAACTAAGAATGTAAAAAAGGAAACAGATCCTATTACTTAGTATCTTTAAGAGGCAAACTCTGTGGGAACTATTTTCATTTTGTTTTCTCCCAAAAGCAGTTCATCAGATTATGAGCAAGGGCTCAGGTGGTACAGAATGTAGTGACCTAAATGATGGGCTTATTTCACACACTATCATTAGCTCATTGCACTAAGCTAAAAAGGATACACTTGTGGGTGCCTTTATCCATGGATGCTCCATGGTTTTCATGGCGTGTATAAATGAGCAATAACTCTTGTTCAATAAAGAAGCCTGACAAGGAAGATGAGCTGCAGAAGCCTCACTGAGACTACAAATTATGCTATTACTTTTTCTTTATGTATTGTCAGCCATGGCTCTCCAACCACCTACCAAAAACCAGGGTGTAGCGACAGCTTGGCTCTTCTGTCTGAAACCCCTAGGCTGGCTTTTCAATTCTGATACTTTCTAGCACTTCTAGGGAAGTTAACCTGAATCCCAGGTTATCTTCCATTTGTAAGATGGTAGTATCACCCACTGACACTAGGCAGGGCAGTGCCCATGACTATTTTATGTTAAAAGCCTATTGTAGTTACTTGGCATTTAGGGACAGATTTATGTCGGCAGCACAGTAACATAATCAATAAAAACAGGTAAAACAACTCTATGTGCTAATACTTAAGTTAGACATATTCCACACTCTTCAAAAATTTAACACTATATTCTTACACATTTGATGACAATTCAGTTGGCTTGTACAGAGCAGTAGCTCTGAGTTTATATTCTTGTTTCTACTCTTTAGTCAGATGAAGAACACAAACCACATGTTTAACATATAACAAAGGTTCAATCTTTGGGTTAACAGCAGCTGAAACTAATCAGAAAGCATACCCTGCAGAATGAGAGCACCAATTATGAAACACAAAACATGTATGTGTACCTTACTTGCTTAGACTTAGGAGCATAACTGCTCACAAAAGTATTCATAGATTTTTTTTTTATTGTTAAGCTGCAACATACAGGGTTTAATACAACAAAAAAACATTTAATCAAGTGAGAAGTAATAAACTGAACAATAAACACTCAAAACAAAATCTTTTCCATTGGAAACATGTTAAGATGAATACGGGGTTGTTACCATCTTACTGCAATTTTCTTATGTGTTACTAGCCTACATACCCCATGTTTTCTGTAATCATGCAGATGTGAATGGGAGTTTGAATGATTAAATAAATGAAAAGTCCATTTACTGCAGAGAATCATTTCACAAGGCAGCCAAACTGGGTTTAGAGAACAAAATTATTCAAGAAATGCTCCATGTATTTAGTTCATTTTAGAATCCATGAACCTTAAGCTGTTCCTCCTTGACAATGCCAACCTGTAAAATAAAATAAAATCTCTTTTAGCAGATCACCCTCAGGGACAAATTCATCCTTAAGAGAGCATGGAGCAATCATTAATAAGAATCATTGTTTCTACTTTATTGTGACACTTATTATTTGGTACATACACTGCTAACAAAATCAATTCCACATACATTTGAGAATCTTTACGTACCAAGAAATACCCTGCATAGATACAGGAACTATAAGGTCATTCTAATGATGGGAACAAAATATGATGAAAATCCTCTGCCTTTAAATCAAACCTAAGTCTGTATGTTACTGTATTGATTTACTTTAATCCCATAATCCTCACTAAGTAGGAATTAATTCATGTTGTCTTTAAATTCAATCTTAGAAGAAATCTCTAGATTGCACATAATGCACCTACTTACCTCCAAGAGAAACTGGCAAATATTTTTTCTTTGGTCACCTTGAAGCTGAATAACCTCCCCGTATTCGGGATGTTCAATCACAGTACCATTACAGGCAAATTTCTGGAGAAGGAAAAAATGTACATTTATGGAACCAAATAAAGAGTTCCACCATAAGACTAAAATGAACTATTTCAGTACGTTTGCTTTTATTTATTTCAGAAACAGCTCTTGTCCTGATAATCCCCAACCCCCCAGGTTAATTTAAAAACACATCAGCTGATCACTAAAGAAACTGATTTTATATGAAACATCAAGAACTAAATATTTCTTATCTTATGAGGTTTACTGCTTATTTGAAAACCATGTAAATCTTATTTTAAGATGGGAGTGCCATACTGGGAGAATAACCAGGATCTGTGGGTGTCAATTTCAAGAACGAACAAAGCTCTCTTGGGTCTAGTCATTTTCATCCACAGATATATTCTATTAAATGTGTGAACCATATTCAATCTAAAAGTCTGAATCAATAACTAAATTTTAATCTTTTCTTCCTAACACTTTTACCTTTTTGAAAGCTTTCACAAGTTTCTTTTTGTCATAATCATCTGCAATGCCCTGAACAGTAGTCAGTGTCTTTCTGCCGTTCCGTTGCTGGATTCTTATATGAATGTAATCCTCAGTCCCTGCCGGGAGTAAGTCGTCACCCTTAGTTGCATCAGCAAAGGGGTCTACAAAAGAATACAAAAAAATCCAAAATAGAAAAATATCTTTTAGTAATTTCCAGAAAGAGAATACATTACAAATCTAGACAGTTAGCAAAGAACGTTCTAGTGTCTATGCTTTTTCTTAAGGGGGGTACGGCAGGTGGTTTTACCTGCCAAAAGTGAGAGAAAAATTTAGAGATATGTCCATTGTAATGTAAATAGAAATATGGTACAAGTATATTATCCTCTAATGAGAAAAAAGAGACTTTAAACTTTAATTTTATACCCACCATAAAAATGTGCGTCATCTAGATTACATTCTCATGTCAACAAAAACATTCAAAGATGCCCACCCTAATCATTTAACTGTAACTATGCCCTGCCCCCCCGAAATATACGTATATACTATACATACATAGTACAAATATATCGCAAAAGACGTGATTTTAGAAATCACTACGCAAGCACTTAAGACTGGACCACTCATCCCCCTGTGAGAGATAAGAGGCCTGTATCCGCACCTTTTAATTAATAACCTCAAAAACTGCTCTCAACAGCTAGTGGGTACAGATCTCTAAACCTCTTGACCCGGAGCCCCCCCTCCAAGGAGCAGGGCAGGTCCGGGAGCCCGCGGAGGAGGGTCACCGAGATGTCAAGGGGCCCAAGCTGAGGCCGGAGCTGGGTCAAGGACAGGGCAGGGGGCGGGCCGAGGACGACAGCACGGGCTTCGGGAGGAGTCGGGGTCGGGCGGCAGTCACCCGGGAGAGAGTCGGAGGAACCGCAGGCGGGGGTCGCCAGGGGCCCAGTCGCCATTTTCTGGGAACCGAGACAAAGCCCCTTTGGGGTGCGGGGAGGGCAGAAACGGGGCCCTTTGGGGTGGTGCTCCAGGCGGGAGACCCCGGGGAAGACGGCCAGGGGCTGCCAGATGGCAGAGAGGAGCGCAGAGAAAGGGAGGGGGATGGCTGCGATCAGATCTTACCGAAAGATTGGAGGTTCTGGATAGTGGACATGCGATACTAGTGTGAGGCCGGTGAGGGGATAAAATTCCTGCGGGGCCCGCCCGGATCACCGTGTCAGGAGGCTGCAGTGGCGAGAAAACGGAAATAAATAAAGGAAAGCTTCGCCCCGGGGTTGGGATTCGACTGGAGCGTCTGCGGCGGCGGAAGCCAGGAGGAGGCAGGAAGACGCAAAGGAGGAGGCGGAGGAAGAGGCGGCGGCGACGGATGGGAGGACGCGAAAGAAGAGGCGGCGCTGCGGCTTCTCGCACAAAATGGCCGATGGAGACTATTTAGCCGCGCCCGCCGCCCACCCCACGTGACCCACCCGCTCCAGGAATCTTAGGACTTGTAGTTTTCCGGAGGCGACAAAACCAGAAAAGATTGGAGCCCTCGGGACTTCCGGGACCGCAATTCCCGGCAGGGAGTGCGTCCGGGGGTGCCCGATGGCCCAAGGGGTCTTGCCCGGCTCGAAGGGGGGTCGTGGCAGCTAAAGATCTAAACAGAGCCAGCAGCCCAGGGGTAGCTTCGCGCGCGCTCTCAGTGTCCTCTTCAGTTTTCTTTTCCTTTCTCCGGTGGTACAGTGGCTGTACGCAGGGTTGGGGCTAGAGGGATAATCCCCATCAGTCAACCTCGAAAGCCCGAGTAATGCAAATGAAAACGAGTTGCCTTGCGGGCGCAAAACAAGCCTCCTAGCCTCAGTTCTCCATTCGATACCCGCACCTCGGCACCTCTTGGATCGAAATTCTAGCTCCTCATTCAGGAACCATGTTGATCTACATTTAAAGTTCGAGGTGGGAGGCTGTGTGCCCGTTGGGCTGACATTTTGATTCTCTAGTGCGGAGATTCTCAAACTTCAGCGTGGATTTATTTTCCCGAGGCTTTACCCACAGAGTTTTTCTTCAGAAGTCTGGCGGGTAGACCGAAATTTTGCAATTCTGCCAGACTTCCAGGTGATGGTGATGCAGCTGATCAGGCACAACGCTTGAGAACTACTGCCCTAGCGTCAGCAGGGGTCTAGCATCTAGTGGGGGCCGGTATGTGTCCCCCGAACGTACTAGAAAACCAGCCTGCCACCTCATCCTGTATTCCTCAAAAGGTTGAACACAGAGCCTTGAACAGATTACGTGCCAAATATGTTTAGAAGTTGTGCTCAGCAGATAGGTTGATTGATAGAGTCCAGTACTAATACTGTAATGTCTTAACATCAAGTCAGACACGTGCAAACTCAGAAAAACAAACCGAGATGTTAGGAATGGGCTCACCCAGGCAAGTACTCAACTAGCAAACTTGGTTGGCTTTCTAAAAGCAAAAAAATAGACTAAAATTTAGAGATTCTTAAATCTTTTTTTTTTTTCTTTTTAGCCTAGCAGTCTTGTGAAGCCTAAGAACCCCTTTCTTTGCATAGTGTTTTTAACTGTATAAAACATAGGTTTACAAAGGGAACCAATTATTTTTAAGTTAAAAACAATACCTTTATAATATAGTTAAGTGCTTTATTAATACATTAATCAAAAGGGTTAGCAGCAGGTCTAATAACTAATTCTGATTTCAAACAGGTGATAAAATATGAAAGATATTTTGAGATATCTGTACCAGAAATATAATATGGAGTATCTGTGACTTTTATTGGTGCAAAGTGACAGGTTCTTCTAATACTACATTCATATTGAAAGGAGATGCTAAGTTTTACCTAGAGGTTAATGAAAATGCAGATGTAATTTTTTTTTCCCATCCATGGACCAAAGGATCTATAGACTCCAGGTTAAACATACCTGGATTTGATAGTCTTTTGTAGTTAACAGTGATAACAAGACATTTATTGTACTTACTATTTGCTTGTTGCAAAGTTTATTTACAGTATTATTCATCTTCATAGTTATTCTATGAAATAGATGTTGGAACTCCATTTAACAGATATGGAAATGGAGTCATCTCTAAGTTAAATAACTTGCCTAAAAAAATCAGACTCGGAACTCTCAGTGATCTAACTACGTTTTGGTCTTCAGTCCTGATCTAACTGAAGAACAGGTTTCCTACCCAAACTAAGGTATAAAGTTCCAGAGGTGGTTCTAAAACAATGTCAAAAGTTTTTTTTGTTGTTGTTGTTCATGTGTTAGTTACAGTTTCACTGTTTGGTCTTTCACTTTCACAAGTGTCTTAGAATAATTTTTAATACTACTGTAAATGAAATGCAAAATAATCAAAGTGCATCTCTATTTCCTTTTTTTCTAGATATCCATAAGCATATTGCATCATACTGCTTCTCAGAAGGAGCAATGGGTGGTCTAGTGAAGAAAAATAAACAGAGAAGTTAAAAAAAAATTTAAAAATTTTAGAATCCTCATGGTCATTGCTCCTATAGGAGATTTCATTCTTTCTTAGAGCTAGTGTTTGCATCAGAAAAATCTTCCATCAAAGCCAACTAAAATCCAGGTTAGATACAATTGTGATTATATCTTAAAGGTTCTTCTGAATCTCTGGTCGCTAGTAGCTTTTGTGTTTAGACCTGCACTGTTCAGTACAGGCACCAGTAGCCACGTGGGCATTGAGCACTTGAAGTGTGACTAGTCCGAGTTGAGATGGACTTTAACAATAAAGTAAACACTAGCTTTTCAAATAATTAAATTGTCTTAATTTCACCTATTTCTTGTTACTGTTTGAAAAATTATATGTAGCTCCCATTCTGTTTGTATGCTTGCTGCTTTAGAGGGAAAGGATTTGATCTACATATAAAATTACTATGAAAAGAATAAACTGAGGCATTTAAAATATGGTACTTTGGGTTCTAAATGGTACCAGGCTAGTTTAAGGAGATTATTTATTTCCTGCCTTTTTTCAGAAAGTTTAGATCACTTGCAAACACCTGTAGTATTGACTAAAGGAATCAGGAAAGATCAAATGAAAGTATACTAGTTTTAAAAGAAACACCTCAAAAACTAGAAGTAGATTACAAATTTGGCTCTGAACTTATTAGCAGTTGAGACAAAGAGGAAAACAGCTAGAAAATCCATATGTCTACAAGATTAAAACATACCAGTTATGCAGGAGGAATGGCTCTGCCTGGCTGTGAGCCCTGAGAGATGTTTTTCTTGAGCCCTCATAAAGGGGACACTGTGATGTAGTGTACAGCATCCCTAGCAGTTTGCTTATGATGACTACAATCTGGGTTTTGTGTAGTTGTTTCTTCTGAAACTTGGGGTCCTCATTCCTCCTTAACATGAAAATATGCCACTCACATCTCCTGCTTTAGCTCGTGTGTAACTGACTGACAGCCCCAGCTGCTGTACTTGAAATTTAACACTGCATCCCGCTGAGGCCACATTTCCCACAGGCTGTTCCCAGCCAGTGACTGAGAACAAGAAGAGTACTAATGCAGGCCTGGTCCTGAGAGATGTGGGACTTCTCTGATCCATCCACCAGGCTAAACTTTCTCACATTCGTGCTGCAGGCTAAGACTCCTTCACCTTTCCTCCATCTCTCCATCATAGGGTCACCACGTCTGGCTCGCTTCTGTTTTCCTCACAGGTGTTTCCCCCAACCAGTCTCTTGCTCATCTAATCTGACCTTGATATCTGCTTTTGAGAGGATCCAAATTGATGCATTTAATCCCTGGACACATTGGTGAGAAGATAATAAGTAGGAGGAAGGTTCCAGTTAAAATGACTCTGGTTATTACCACAAGTCTTTCCCTCCAAACCCTAAAATCTGGTGAGCTGTGCTAGACTACATGAGGCTAAGAGAACTTTTGCATAGCCTGCCTGAAGGTTTAGGGCCTTCAACATAAAACCAGACTAGACAGCCTTTGTTTTTTTTTCTCTCCTGGGTGTATACCCTAAAACCCATTTCTTTATGTATTTGGTGGTAAGAAACTAGGAACCCATTGAAGAGCAAAAAGAATATTTGCCCAGTAATTAGAGAAAACTGGAATTTACTCTCCCTAGGAAACCCAAGGAGGGGTCGCTATGAGTTGGGTTTGACTCGACGGCACATAACAACAACAACAACAGGAAGACTACAGGGTCTTTTTTACTGCACCAGTGAAATAGGAAATCAACATTCCCAAGGGACAGCTAAAGACGCTGCCTCTTCAAGGAGACCAAGTACACAGAAAACCCAAAGTGTGAGTACCCTGTTTATACTCTGGGCTTCAAAGTTATTTAATTTCTCACATCTTAGCTTTGAATAAAGGTTAAGTAGCTGAGACTTTAAAGATAAATTTCCTGTCTGGAACCTTGTTGCTAAGTGGTTGATAAGTGGCATGGTATCAGTAGCCAGAATCAGTCACCATCTGTCTATCACACAGTGATTAGTTAGCTTCTGTAGAATGGATCAGAAAGCAGATGGAAGAGAAAGCCATACCCTAAGGCTTTCCTGGGAGTTCTGGTGGTGTAGTGCCTAAGGCATTTGTCTACTAACCAGAAGGTTGGTGGTTCAAACCCACCAACCTCTCCTCAGAAGGAAGGTTGGGCAATATACTTCCGTAGTGATACTGCCTCGGAAACCCAAGGAGGGGTCGCTATGAGTCGGGTCCGACTCTACGGCACATAACAACAACAGCAAGGCTTTCCTAATCCTGTATACTTTCTGCTCTACCATTCTACTGGGAGAAGATTAAGGAGCAGTAGGTGAATGGGCTTTGTGTATGTAGACACTTAATATTGATGATGATCACCAACATGTTGATGACATTTAGCACATTATGTGTGGAGTAGCCACAGTGTTCTGTTGAACAGAAACTAAAACTATACAGGTATCCCCCACTCTTTGAAAGTTCACTTTACGCTACTTTGCTTTTACTAAAGACCTGTTTTCATTAACAGAAAGAAATCAGAAGACTTTCCCTTTTACTGGAAAAAACAGAAAAGCGAACTTTAGCATTTGTTTTGCATTGAATCTTTAAAGAGGCAGCACATACCTCTTAGCAGCCAGAGTGGTGTCGCCAAGTACACTCATTGTCTCAATATCCAGCTGCCATAGCTTTGAACTGTGTCTGTGAACACTATTTGTTTGTGTTATTTTAGATTTTATGTGTTACTTGGTAAGATTTGGTATGTTATTTTTTGGGTCTCTGAATGCTCAAAAGTTTTTCTCATATAAATTCATGGTAATTGTATGTTCACTTAACACTATTTTGGCTTAAGAAAGGTTCCAAAGGAACGCTTTACTTTTGGATCCTGGAGGAAACCTGTACATGTACTAAAACGTCAATGTTTTGTTCTCAGGGAACTTGTGAATCTAAAAGGAAAGTTTAATCAAGTTAACATGTAATCGTGAAACGAATATCTGAATA